CTGTGTATACCATATATGCATTCTGTTTTTCTTCTAACGCCTCTGTGATTTTGTCGTAATGGTCAAGTAGCTGTGAGAGGCATGATCTTCCTGCTCTAAATCCATGTTGGCCTGGGTTGTGGAGGTCATTGGTTTCCATGAAACTAGTGACCTGACTCCTGATCACTCTCTCAAATACATTTATTATGTGGGACGTTTGTGCAACTGGTCTATAATTCTTTGCCAATGCTTTGCTCCCTTCCTTGTGTGGAGAGGCAATGTCTGCTGATTTAAGCGCATCTGATATCTCCCCCATGTCCAAGCTCTTTCTCCACACTATACCTGTACTGAGCGCCTGTGCTACTAGCACCTTGCATTTCTTTATAAAAATTGAATTAAATCAGTTTGGCCCCAGGACTGAATGCATAGGCATGTTGTCAATTTCCCTTTCAAAATCTGCCACATGCAAAACCTGTAAGCAGTAGTTTATTGTACACCCCAAACTCATCCTGTGAGCACTAGTTTATTGTGCACACCATACTCATCCTGTGAGCACTAGTTTATTGTGCACACCATACTCATCCTGTGAGTACTAGTTTATTGTGCACCATATACTCATCCTGTGAGTGGTAGTTTATTGTACACCCAATACTCATCCTGTGAGTGGAAGTTTATTATGCACTCGATACTCATCCTGTGTAATTACCTAAGTGTAATTACCTAAGTGTAGTTACAGGATGGGAGCTACGCTCGTGGTGTCCCGTCTTCCCAGCACTCTTTGTCATATAACGCTTTGAAACTACTGACGGTCTTGGCCTCCACCACCTTCTCACTTAACTTGTTCCAACCGTCTACCACTCTATTTGCGAAGGTGAATTTTCTTATATTTCTTCGGCATCTGTGTTTAGCTAGTTTAAATCTATGACCTCTTGTTCTTGAAGTGCCAGGTCTCAGGTAATCTTCCCTGTCGATTTTATCAATTCCTGTTACTATTTTGTATGTAGTGATCATATCACCTCTTTTCCCGCCAAACACACAACGAAATTACGACGTTAAAACCTGTTCGAACGTTGTAGCAACAACACCTAACAAGTTATAACAACCAATATAGCAAGTTGTAACAACGTTCTAATACGTCATAAACACGTTAAGCCAAGATGTAAGAACTTTATTACAAGTTGTAACAAGCGGAAAATAGAGACAGTTTCGGTTTGTGTTTCGAGGGTTTCTTCTGTTTTCTAGTTTTGGCATGTTTAATACTTCTAACCTCTCCTCGTAGTTCTTACCCTTCAGTTCTGGGAGCCACTTAGTAGCATGTCTTTGCACCTTTTCCAGTTTGTTGATGTGCTTCTTAAGATATGGGCACCACACAACAGCTGCATATTCTAGCTTTGGCCTAACAAAAGTCATGAACAATTTCTTTAGTATATCGTCATCCATGTATTTAAATGCAATTCTGAAGTTAGAAAGCATAGCATAGGCTCCTTGCACAATATTCTTTATGTGGTCCTCAGGTGATAGTTTTCTATCTAGAACCACCCCTAGATCTCTTTCTTTATCAGAATTCTTTAAAGATTTCTCACATAATATATAGGTTGTGTGGGGTCTATGTTCTCCTATTCCACATTCCATAACATGACATTTATTAACATTAAATTCCATTTGCCAAGTGGTGCTCCATCTACTTATTTTGTCCAGGTCTTCTTGAAGGGCATGACAATCATCTAAATTTCTTATCCTTCCTATTATCTTAGCATCATCAGCAAACATGTTCATATAATTCTGTATACCAACTGGTAGATCATTTATATACACAATAAACATCACTGGTGCAAGAACTGAACCCTGTGGTACTCCACTTGTGACATTTCTCCATTCCGATACATTGCCTCTGATTACTGCCCTCATTTTTCTATCAGTCAGAAAATTTTTCATCCATGATAGAAGCTTACCTGTCACCCCTCCAATATTTTCCAGTTTCCAGAACAACCTCTTATGTGGAACTCTGTCGAAAGCCTTTTTTAGGTCCAGATAGATGCAGTCAACCCAACCATCTCTTTCCTGTAATATCTCTGTGGCTCGATCATAGAAACTGAGTAAATTCGATACACAGGATCTTCCGGATCGAAAACCATACTGTCTGTCTGATATTATATCATTTCTCTCTAGGTGTTCTACCCATTTAGTTTTGATTAGTTTTTCCAATACTTTCACTATTACACTTGTCAATGATACAGGTCTATAATTGAGGGGGTCTTCCCTGCTGCCACTTTTGTAGATTGGAACTATGTTAGCCTGTTTCCACCCGTCTGCTACGATTCCTGTACACAGGGATGCCTGAAAGATCAGGTGAAGTGGAATGCTGAGCTCAGATGCACATTCTCTCAGAACCCATGGTGAAATGCCATCTGGGCCAGCTGCTTTGTTCTTACCGAGCTCCTTGAGCATTTTTTCCACTTCGTCTCTAGACACCTCTATGTGCTCTATGTTGTTCTCTGGAATTTTTATTGTATCTGGTTACCTAAAAGATTTCATTTTGTACAAACACACTTTGGAGCTTTTTGTTTAGTGTTTCACACATTTTCTTTTCATCTTCTGTGAATCTATTTCCCATTTTCAACCTCTGAATATTATCCTTTACCTGCAATTTGTTGTTTATGAATTTATAGAATAGACCTGGTTCTGTTTTACATTTGTCTGCAATTCCTTTTTCAAAATTTCTTTCTGCCTCTCTCCTCACTGCCGTGTAGTTGTTTCTCGCATCTTTGTATCGCTGGTATGTTTGGGGGTTCGGCCTCTTCCTGTATTGATTCCATTTTTGTGTCTTTTGGTCTCTAGTCCTCTCGCAATTTCTACTGAACCAATCCTGTTTCCTAGTTCTGCATCTCTGTTTTGGTATAAATTTTTTTGTGCCTTTATCATATATTTCACAAAACTTGACATACATCTCATTCACTTCCTTGCCTAGCATCAAGTCTGTCCAATTATACTCACTAAAAAAATTTCTAAGGTCACCATAATGTCCTCTCCTAAAGTCTGGTTTTTCAACTGCTTCAACCTCCTTATTTTCTTCCAGCTTATAACGCATTGCATACTTTATTCCCAAAAAGACATGGTCACTTTTACCCAAGGGAGGAAGGTACTGAATGTCAAATATCTCTTCCTCCTTCCTGGTAAATATCAAATCTAGCATGGAGGGAACGTCCCCTTCCCTCATCCTCGTAGCTTGTTTAACATGTTGATACAAGAATGTTTCCAGGATGAGGTCTACAAATTTACAGGTCCAAAAATCTTCTGTTTTAGCTTCATATGCTTCCCAGTCTATGGATTTCAAGTTGAAGTCACCGACTATCAACAGTCGTGATCTATCGTTATCCGCTCTCGCTATAATCTCTCTCATTACTGTTATAAGATCTTCACGTTTCGAGTAGCCCCTTGGGAATGTGACCTCATTGAAAATAACATATTCAAGTTTTGTCTCCGTGAGTGCAACAATGTCTGGTGTCTGCAGCTGTATTACATCACTTAACTGCAGTATGTTCGATCACACTGATATGTGTTGGTGTATGTGTTGATACATACAGTAAAAGATTCCAGGAAGAGGTTTATGAATAGGTCAATCCATAAGTCCTCTGTTCTTGCTAAATAGTCTTCCTAGTCTATCAATTTTAAATTGAAGTCACCAAGTATCAACTATCATGATTAATCTTTATCTGCTTTTACAATAATATCTCTTATGATCATTAAAGACCCTCTCTTTTGTCATCGAGCTCCTCTTTAGTTCATGCATTGTTTGCTGGCGGACTGTATGAAGTAATGATTATTAGTTTATTGTTCTGGCTTGCAAATCTCCAGTGCCATTATGACTACTTCTTGAGGGGTTGTAAGTATTAATTTTCTTGCATACCCTCAACTACTATATCACAACATGAAAAGCAATACAACCAGCAATTCAACTTAATTTGCCTAGTGTTGTCAGACTGACACATTCAATAAATCATTGAATTATATGTGTAACAGATCTTTAACCCTGTCCATGGAGGACAAAAAAATGTATATATGCTGGTTAACATTGTAAAGGTGTGGCCATGTCTATGGTAGAAAAAAAAATCACTAGGCAGCAGAAGATCGCTACTAAGAACCGGTTGGTCATTCCATATAGTTCGTTCTAAAACAAAGCACACTGCTAAGAACCGAAGCAAAATGCGTAAAACAAAATTCATTTTGTTACCCAAATAAAGTTGGAATTGAATCAGTAAACATCTATCAGAAGATATATAAAGCTGAGGGCACTGGAGTCTATAAAATTCCTTGCAATGATTCTAACAATGATTATTATGGCCAAACAGGATGGGATCTAAATACCCATATCACCGAACACAAGAGGTCTGATTAAATATTAAATGTTGCTGTTTGATCTTGTGTCTAAATTATTTACATCTTTGCAAACAACATTATCCCAGGACAAAGCCCTGGGGCACACCACTTACAATAGTTTTCCACTCACACTTAACTCTGTTAACGCTAACTCTTTGCTTTCATTTTAATAACCAATACTGTATTACCATGAAAAAAACAATGGGAGCACTCCAATATACATTTAGGACTTACTGTATTTCCTTGACTACACTGAAATATCATTGCCGAGTTCCTTTACCTCCAGATTGCTTATTAATTTAAGTAATTTACAATTTTATTACATGCTTGCTGAGAGCAGTCCTAACTCTTGTTCACACATTTTTATCTCTATGCAAATTGTGGTTTGTTATTGATGTTTTAGATTCAGCTACTCAGAACAAAAGTTCCAAGTAGTACAGGATACGCAAGCCCGTAGTGGGCTTTTGAGGAAAAAAAAATTGCGGTCTTTCACCTTTACAATATCAAACCTATAAGTAAATTATATTTACAAACATTTTAGGTGTTCCAGAAGCATTCGAAGGCACAATGTGTGTGTAGAGCTAATGAGGTGTCTTAGATCAGATATAGACGGATGTATATTTTAATACTTTGATAACACTTACCAGGATTCCAAGAATTGGAATCTTCCTCATCATCTGATAGTTCATTAGAACATGGCTCAAACTCGGGTGCAGAGGGATTAAGGCTAATGTCAGTAATCTGAAAAATAATAAATTAAAATAAATGAAAATTGTTTTAAGGTTTTAAAATAAGTATATAATCAATACTTTAGATAAAACTTATAATTATTGCTCATGGCAGGAGTTGCTACTTTTCATATAACTGCCATACAAAATAGTGTAACCTCCAAAATCCTGACCAATTTATATAGAAAACCTCTAAACAATATAAAAATTTTCCTTTTAAATCATTTCTCAGGAATTCGACTTAAATCCAGATTTGTTCACCAGACCAGTGTCCACCAGACACCTCAACTGACAAATATGGTAATTTCCACATTATATTGATTAACTATTTTCAACAATCTGTCTTTTAGTAGTACAGTAATTGACATAAATGAGGAATACAGTGGTACTTTGATTTTCAAATTTAATCCATTCCCAGAAACAGCTCATATCCTGAAAATTCGCACACCGAAATGAATTTATAATGTAAATTGAATTAATCCGTTCCACAATCCCAAAAAACAAGCGTTGAATGTAATGAAATGCCATTTTCATTATTTTTTAAATGCCTGTTCGACCTCCAAAAACCCCGCGACCCAATGTCAACCCAAGATGTTGCCAAAGACAGCAGCCAAAGCAGCAAACTTACGCACGTTGTGGGCACAGGGATAAACCGCAAGCTGGCTAGACTTAATTAATAACCCTGCGGACAACCTGAGAGACCCAAGCCCGGGAACAGGGAAGAAGGGAAACCAGGTCAACCCAAAGCGCATCCCTGGCCACCGAATCTGTGGAGCGCAAATAACGGCGAAGAGCCACAACTGGACACAACACACGATGCAACCCCAGCCTCACCAACCAAGCATCAACAACCCAAGACCCCCTCCAAAACTCACTCGTCTCATTCTTCGCCAGAAAAGATGGAGATGGCTGCAACCGAATAAAATGACCACCTGGACCAAAAAAGCAGAAACAACTGCGCCGGAGGAGAGCATGAAGCTCCCCGACCCAACCCCCAGAGGACAATGCCATCAGGTAAAGAGCTTTAGAAAAACAATCCTGCACGAAAGGGGCCACAACAAACCAGGAGAAGAAAGAAACGTGAGCACCTGGCCCAAAGACCAGGATGGCTCAGGAGACATATGAGTAGGCCGGAGGTGAAACAATGCCAGAGACAATTTGCAGAACAGGCATTAGTAACATTAACACCGAAAGCAAGCTGAAGTGGCTCCACCAGTGCCGCACGACACGAGGCAACAGTATTGGGCATAAGATGACGGTCCTGGAACAACCGAGATAGAAAGGACAGAACAACCCCTATCAGAGACCAAAGAATACCTACACAGTGATAGGAAGAACCGGAAGGACCGCCAGGAAACTTCATACTGTCTTCAAGACGAAGCATGCAGGTGAGAGACCAATGACAAAGCCACCGGCGCATCATACAAGTGATGATAAACTCGAGTTAAAAATTCCTGACGTGAAGACTCGAGGAGAAGACCGAACCAGCCTCGTACTGGGCTGGACCGATCTGCTGAAAGAGGCGGTGCTTTTCTTTCTTTCTTTCTTTCTGAAAATTTCTTTCACCCTGAATGCCCCTGTTACCTAGCAGTAAATAGGTACCTGGGAGTTAGTCAGCTGTCACGGGCTGCTTCCTGGGAGGGGGGTAAAAAAAAGTAGTTAGTAAAAACAGTTGATTGACAGTTGAGAGGCGGGCCGAAAGAGCAAAGCTCAACCCCTGCAAACACAACTAGGTGAATACAATTAGGTGAATACCTAGGGAAGAGAACCCAAGGCACATGTAGCCCGAGTATTGAAGAATAACTCCTAACTAGCGCACCCCTGGAAGACAGCCACCACCACACAAGGCACAGTGCTGGAACAATCACTGAAGCCAGAGCAAACGACCTCTGCCACTAGCATCAGCCTCAGAACTGAGGTGTGGATAGCCAGCGTGGGGGACTCGGGCTCCCCCTCCCCCTGGGGAGGTGTGGATAGCCAGCGTGGGGGTCTGGGGCTTCCCCTCCCCCTGAGGAGCTGCGAAAACAACAGCGTGGCGATGTGTGACGTCATGCTCGTTTGCTTGTTTCTGTTTGGGAAGTTCTACCCACTTGTTAGGCTTTTTGTAGCAATTTTCACCAGAATAGGGGTTTGTTTTGGGATGCTTATCTTTCCGGGTGCCTGACCCAGTTGATGGCAGACATAGAATGCTTCCAACCACACAGGGAATTCTACAGGGCATTGCTCCCCATGCCTCTCTGAGGGTGGCCAGGTTCTGGCTCGTGGTCCCTGGTAGACCCACAGAACTCCATACACATGACTGATGCCAAAGTCTGACATTAGCATAATATCAGCCTGGATAGCTCCGAGGAAGCCGAAGGGGTTCCCCCCAGAAAAGAGGCATTGACAGAGTAGGCGCCAGACGAGGTCTGCTCTGCCCCAGCTGTCAGATGGATTTTGCCACAAAGATAATATTACCTAATTATTTCAATGTCTCAGATTTTTTCTTAGTTTTTTTGCAGTAATATTATTCAAGTGTGTATTGTGATATATTTATATAATAAAATGTGTGAACCATCACTGTACTGAACTCAAAATTATAATGTGCATATTAGTGATTCAATTATTATGTTCATAAAACAATAAACAAATAGTTTTGCTGTTATTACACTATATACACAGGTTATATATAAATATCTGCATGTTTTGTTCACCATAACAAACCAGTAAGTTGGTATTTGGAGGAAGTATTTGGTAGTTGAAGGAGACTCCTCCTCGTAGGAGAGGGGACTCCCCTTCCAAACAGTAACACCTCTCCTCACCATCTTCCATACACCAACAGGAGTCATCAATAAAGTTAAGTAATAACTTGTACATACTTTTGAAGTGAACATTTGGATGAATTAGGTATAAAATTTACTTTTGAAGTTAATTTTTTTGGGAGTCAGAACGGATTAATTCAGTTCCCTTTATTTCTTAAGGAAAAACATTTCGACTTACGACATTTCAACTTACGATACGTCTCTGAAACGGATTACCATAGTAACTCGAGGCCCCAATGTACATGTATTGTGCGGTTTCGGTAAACTTACTCCCATCGTCTATATATGTGTTTTGCACGGTCTACGGGTTAATGCGCCTATGGGTGACAAAGGCTAAATAGCCCTTAGCAGCTTGGGGGTTAATCAATAAAGTTATTTGTAGGACTTCGTCATCAGTGAGGTCAAGTCAATGTGGATACTAGCGCAGCGAGTGACCTTGCAGTAAATAAGTATCCTTTGAACTAAAACTTTTCCACAGTGGTAGTGATTATAGCGATGACAACAATGATGATAGTGATAATGGTGTACTTGGTGATGGTGATGATGAAAACAAACCAAAAGTTAGAAACTAATAATGTTACATCAAATGGGTGCCAAGGATACTAAAATAATTTTGGCTGCATTCCAACGGTCAATCTTACCTTACATTCCTCTAACTCCTCTAAACTTGCTGGTGATGTTCTCACTGAGGCTTTGTTAATGGTCTTGTTTGTTTTATCATTAGACGTCTTGGAGGCAGAGAAAGTAGAGTCTGAAGTACCTCTTGATGCATATGACACCCCTGATCCTGCTAACTGAGAAACTGAAGAGGTAGATGAACAAGTGCTTTTGTTATCTTCCAGGAGATGCGTAAACTTCTTTGCTTTTCGGCCATCACTATGTAAATGAAGAAATAGCATTCTGATAATTCATATAATATGAATTAAAGGATTTAATCAAATTTTAAAGACATTCTAAATAACAGTTACTGTCATTACATTTTTAGTACATTTGACAATTAAACAAAATTGAGCCTAGGGAAATCCACACCCTTCCCCCGTTTCCCACAAAAGGGGGATTTCTTTACAGTATACTCAACCTAATATTTTATTTTTATATTTCTTATACTATCCATTATTAGAAAAACTGTGTATGGTACAGTATTTGTTTTCCTGTACCTTCTTGTTAATACAATTAGAAAGTGACCAGTGTGTTTCATATCATTAGATTCTTAAAACATTAAACATAAACAAGGAAAGCCAAACTGATAAATAGCTTACTTCAGAGTAGGTAGAAAATGAGCCGATAAAAACCAGTGCTGAATGTAATGAAACGCCATTTTCTGGGTGAGTCCCGGAGACTTCTTGGAGGTATCCATGGCTGATATGGATACCCTAACTATTTTGCATCAGTCGATGTGGGTGGAGTTCTAGGCCTAACGGGGACAATGAGCCAGAACCTGGCACCCTCACAGAGGCACGAGGAGCAATGGCCCATAGAAATGCACATGTGATTTGGAGCATTCTATATCTGCCATCGACTGGGACAGGCACCCAGAAAGGTAAGCGCCACAAAACAAACTCCTATTCTGGTTAACAATGAAAATCATCAAACGAATGGACAGAACTCCTCAAAAGAAAAACGAGCACAAACAAGCATGACGTCACATGAGCCGTGCCGCATGTCTGCGCAGCTCCCCCCCCCTCCCTCGTGCCTCTGTGAGGAGGCCAGGTTCTGGCTCGTGGTCCCTGGTAGGCCACCCACATCGACTGATGCAAAATAGTTAGGGTATTCATATCAGTCATGGATAGCTCCGGGAAGCTGTAGGGGCTCTCCCCAGGAAAACTACACTACTCTGGGTGTGCCATAAAATCAGTGACTACTGAAGTGTAAGGTATCCAGCCCTAAGGCTCCATTTATCAGTACAATGACTAAGGATCATAGCACTTGTGTTTTCACTCTATTACCTTCTCCTGTAGCTATCTGGACACAATTTTCTGATATATGTTTGTGTGTTCTTTCTATAGTCTTTGGAATACTAAATTATGTCTTTGGAATTCTATAGTCTTTGGAATACTAAAAGAATGAAAAAATTAAATACAGTCAGCTCGTCAAAAATGTGGAGCCTCCAAGTGAGAACATGCCATCAATCCTAATATAATATAAACTATGCACTTACCTATATCTAGTAAGATATCTTGAGTTAGTCATTCGGTCCTTGATTTCTTTACAAATCATCTCTTGTGCTTGGACTACATGATCTCCAACACAGATAACATCATCAATCATGGCAAATTTAATAGACTGCATAAGAAACTCCTTAATTCCTCCACACTGGTTGACGTAAGAGCTTGCCTCCGATGGGAAGTTTTCCGAAACTTGCTCTCTCAGACGAACATCATTGATTGACATCGGACCTTCTGACTTCAACCAATCATACATGAAGCTGGAATGAAAGTAGGCATGTAACATGTGTATCTATCCATTCTTTTATTAAAACTAAGTTAATTAAATCTATTGTTATACTATAATCTGTTGCAAGGCTTGTTAGCTTTCCAGGTAAGAAAAGAACTCCAACACACTTTTGCACAAACACACTGGAACTGTTCATTTAATGTTTCACACATTTTCTTTTCATTTTCTGTGAAAGTTTCCTATTTTTAACCTCTGATTATTGTCCTTTACCTGCAATTTGCTTTTAATGAATTTATAGAATAGGCCTGGTTCTGTTTTACATTTGTCTGCTATCCCTTTTTCAGTATTTCTTTATGCCATTCATCTCACTGCTGTGTAGTTGTTTCTTACTTCGTTGTCTCGCTGATATATTTGAAAGTTTGTACTCTTCCCATATTGATTCCATTTTTGTGTATTTTGGTCTGAGGCCCTCTAACAATTTCTGTTGAACCAATCCTGTTTCCAAGTTCTGTATCTGTTTTGGTATAAATTTTTAGTGCCTTTTTATCACATACAGGTACTGTCTCCACTCGATCATCCGGACTATATGGGAAGGACCCCCAGCCGGATTATCACGTGTTCCGGATAATGGTACTTTTTCACCTACGAGTCCAAAAGTGACCATTTCCAACTATTTTTATACTACAAACAACATAATTTGAATTGCCTTACCACATATAATTATTAAATATTCAACTAGAAACCTCAACTTTCCTTGTTGGTGTTCGGTTGGGGCTCAACAGATTCTCACAAGTCGAGCCTGGCCTCGGGCTGGGCTTGGGGAGTAGAAGAACTCCCAGAACCCCATCAACCAGGTATCAACCAGGTCTTCTTTATTGATGCCACCCACACATCTTGAAGTTAAGAATTCTTAACAATTTACATAACCTATACTAACACAACACTAAAATTAACACTTAAAATTACTGTACAGTTCATTAAGGAAAGTTAGTTTTGACTACCAGCTGCTGAAGCCTCACTGGTTGAAGGCGCTTGCTTGCACCTCACTTGTTGAAGGCGCTTGCTTGCACCTCACTTGCTGAAGGCGCTTACTTGCGCCTCACTTGTTGAAGGCGCTTGCTTGCGCCTCACTTGTTGAAGGCGCTTGCTTGCGCCTCACTTGTTGAAGGCGCTTGCTTGCACCTCACTTGTTGAAGGCGCTTGCTTGCGCCTCACTTGTTGAAGACGCTTGGCTTGCCTGTGGCACCTCCCTTGTTGAAGGCATGTCGCTTGCCTGTGACGCCTCACAAGTTGAGGTGTATAACACGTAACTTGTCTTTAATTGTTAGGACAACCTTCTTCCTCTTAACACTATCACTCTCCCCACGAGAGCGCCGCAGACTTTGACATCATGGGGGCCAATGGTGCGGGCGAGCGTGCGGCGACGCCTAAATGTGTATACTCACTTCAGTTTTCTCACCTTAATTCTCATGCTACGTCGTTCGTTTTGGTATCATTGTGTCCGCAATTAAATTCCCTGCAGATGTATATGCATATAATATCCAAAAGCCTGGCGAGACTCCCAACAGCAAAGCCTAAAGTCGGAAAAGTTACCTGTGAGCACACAAAATCAGTAAAATGTTTATACTCGTTTCAGTTTTCTCACTTTAATTCTTGTGCTACGTCGCTCGTTTTGGTATCATTGTGTTCACAAATGAATTCCCTACAGGTGTATATGAATATAATGTACAAAAGCCTGGCGTGCCTCCCCGCATGAAAGCCTAAAGTTACCCGTTAACAAGTGCCAATTTGTACACTGCAACCTAATGTGTATACTCGTTCAGTTTGATAACATCAATTTTCGTGTTACGTCTTTCATTTTGGTATCAAATTGTTTGCAATAAAATGGCGCATATTTTAAAACTAGTCCCATAATAATAGAGCAATAACTGGAATTTTAACAAATATTTTAATTCTGGAAGCTCATCATCATAATTATTTATATCTTTCCAGTGTTCTGACATAAATTTTTGTTTTACATCTTTCATTTTGGTATCAAATTGTTCACGACGTAAAGGTGCACATTTTAAAACTAGTCCCAACATAATAGCACAATAAATACAATTTTAATAAATATTTTAAAATTTTCATCAAAAACCTATATATAATCATATAAGTGTTCGGACATCAAGTTTCATGTTACATCTTTCATTTTGGCATCAAATTGTACGCATTCTAAAGGCACTTAATTTGAAACTATCCTGAAGTCGATTGGATAAAAAATGAATTTTATATAAATATTTTTGTAGTGGACGCGAGTCCTGTCCAAAGTGCGCACTCAGGAGAAAAAAATGGACGGGATCGATGTCCAAAGAGAGAAATAGTGTTAAAACATCCAGAATGATTGATGCTGCTACCATAGTTTTGGCCAAAAATATTTAAAGTTACTATGAAAATAAAAAACTTGTGTAAAACAAATATTTCACTAATGACGCAGCACTGTGACGCCGCACTGGTTGAGGTGTATAACAGTAACTTGTCTTTAATTGTTAGGACAACCTTCTTCCTCTTAACACCTCCAGAACAATTGATGCTGCTACCAGACATAGTCTTGGCCAAAAATGTTCAAAGTTACTATGAAAATAAGAAAGTTATTTAAAAAAATATTTCACTTATGGCAAAGCACTGTGGTATAACACGAGGGGACGGGAGCACATGGGTTGACGAGTGTTGGACGGATCCACTTGGGGCAGCTATAGCACGTTACGTAGATCGCCAGGAGGAAAAAACTCAATATTTTTTAAGGAAACTTCAGCCTGTGCCCATTGTTTTTAGGAAACTTATATACCTGGTTGATACCTGGTTGATGGGGTTCTGGGAGTTCTTCTACTCCCCAAGCCCGGCCCGAGGCCAGGCTAGACTTGTGAGAGTTTGGTCCACCAGGCTATTGCTTGCAGCGGCCAGCAGGCCCACATACCCACCACAGCCCGGTTGGTCCAGTACTCCTTGCATGAAACAATCTAGTTTCCTCTTGAAGATGTTCACGGTTGTTCCGGCAATATTTCTTATGCTCGCTGGGAGGGTGATAAACAACCGTGGATCTCTGATGTTTATACAGTGTTCTCTGATTGAACCCCTATGGCACCCCTGCTCTTCACTGATTTTATTCTGCATTTTCTTCCACATCGTTCACTCCAGTATGTTATTTTACCGAGTAGATTTGGTACTTGGCCCTCCAGTATCTTCCATGTGTATATTACCTGAAATTTATCACTGTTAAACATCATGTTATTTTCTGATGCCCAGTCAAAACCTTTATTAATATCAGCTTGAAGTTTTTCAATGTCTTCAGCCGAGATAATTTTCATACTGATTTTTGTGTCATCTGCAAAGGATGATACGAAGCTGTGACTTGTATTTTTGTCTATATCTGATATGAGAATAAGGAAAAGCAGTGGTGCAAGGAGCTTTTAACTGTGCTTGGACTAGATTTTATATGGTTGACTGTTACTCGCTGAGTCCTACATAATTACTAGTACTTATTTCATTTGTTTTTGGCTATGATTAATTGTTCTAAAATTAATGGTAATTCCTGTACCCAGGTGGTCCCTCCCGACGCTTCCCTCCCACCCTCCCGACACGACCCACCCACCCTACCCCCTCCTCCACCATGCGTCTCGAGCCACAGGCAGGCGGGATTAATACAGTACGGCCCGCCCCATGGCTTTCATATCCAGACAATTCAACGATTATCTGGCTGACTGTCCGGATAGTGTAACACCGGCAGCAAGTTAACCGGCTCTGATTTTTTATTCGGCTAAACCAGCTTTTATCCGGCTCCCATGGCCATATTGGCCGGATGTTGAGATAACTTTATTCGGTCACGATTTTGGCCATACAGTATAAGGGCATTTTCCTGATGTTCGAATCCCGGATAATTGCGTGGTTACAGTATTTCACAAAACTTGACATACATCTTACTTCCTTGCCTAACATCAAGTCTTTCTAGTCAAATTTGTTAACCACTGAACTGCGACAACCGAGAAAACTTGGTCAGTTGGAAACTGCGCCAACAGAGAAAACTCTTTGATTTTTTTGTACCATTCAAAATGTGTCTGCGGTTGTGTACGAAATGAACTCTTAGGACCTCCAGTGAGAGGCAGCTATCTTAGAAAAAATTCCCAGAATGCACTAGGGCTGCTGGCTGGGATAGTACTGAGTGAGCAATCATGGGTGGCGCACGCACCTCTGGCTCCCAAACTCCTGTCCGACGCGGTGTTGAGAGATTGAACTTTGTCGGTGAAATTCAGACCTTGTTGTTTGAAGAACATAAGGGTCATGATATTGGTGAAGCTAGGCACAATAAGGACCTAACACAAAGGTCGGATGCAAGTGATAACAGCACCTATGAGGATGATACAGCAAGCGTAACCAGTTGTAGCTTTGAGCGCCACCCTTGCCCACCTATGCCATCTCCAATTTATATAGATGATACATTGATGAATTGTTTTCTGCGTTCAGTGATGATGCATCTGATACAAGTAGCATAGATGAACAGTGTTAGTTGCTTCCATGGTGGTGTTTTCCATAGATATTTTAAAGAATAGGTGAACCTCTTCCAGAATGCCTGAATCTCTTCCAGATTTACTGACACTCTTCGAGGTTAACTGACACTCTTCGAGGTTGGCTGGATCTCTTCCAGTGTGGGACCTTACAAAGCAATCTTATCAAATTGAAATTTCAAATTGAACCTTACAAATTGATCTTTTCAAGACTACCTTACAAATTGAACTTTCCTATAATTTTTCAATACTACCTCATGCTTTTCAAGCTTGGCTACATACCACCTACAAGTACTAAAGCCAAGGGTGTACATGAGTGCGTTATTTGCAAGCACACATAACGAAGAAACAGGAAGCGAAAATCTATCTGTACCTGGTGCAACGAGAGCAAAGTCGCGCTGTGTACCATGGACTACTTTGCTGATTATTACCCACTTCCAAAGTAGTGTGTAATACAGTGTGTTACTGTGTAAATAGTGTGTGAAACTGT